ACAAAAATGAAAGTCCTATGCCAGTTGTCGTAGAGTGGCTCTATATGTGTGCAAGGGGCTTCGATAATGGCGCTGCAGCAACTTTAATTTAGCTTATTTGGAACCGTCTTATGATGATTTTTCTACATTCATGCTTGAGAAGAGCCTGCTCACTTAGGCTTCTGTAACTGGAGACATTACAAAACTAGATGAACGGCTATTCCCACAATCCTGTCCGGCCCCACAAGATTCTCTCTCTGCTTTTGTTGATATAATTTCTTTTGGTTTATTTCATACCTTTCGACCAGCTTAAATAAAGCTTCATCTTTTGGGTTCCTTCATTCGAAATACTCCAATTTTGGTCTTAACAGCTTGTGAGACAGCTTGCTATGAGAAAGAAATGGAGCCTAGGTGTACAACATGTTAAGACTGTGAAGGCCAACCTAAACAGGGAAAATACCTTCTCTAAAGTTTTACTCCCCAAAGGGGCAACAGGCTTAGGGAGAGTAGGACTTCACTAAAATTCATTATTATTAATGTTATGAAGGTCTTTATTTGCAGTATAACTCAAAGAAAAGTTAATTTCTTAAAACTTTTTCAAAAGCAACTTGGAAACCTTTTGGTGAGTTCTATTTGTTACTTCGAGCAAGAACATTTTAAACAGCAGTTTGGGTCTGGTAAAAGTCTAGTAAATCTCTGGTATGGTACTTCTTTTGCATGAGTGTTATAATTTACAATTGGCATTGGTAGGAAATAATGCAATGTCATTGGTCTTTTACAATTCCTTTTCCATCCAGGTAAAAAGGCTCATCATCAGTCTGTTATACAACCATGTACAACAACAAATCTTGAATGCATACTACGCTGGTTTTAAGTCAATAGTAGTATATTCCAAGTACCTTCAATACACATGAATATATATAAGAATGAGATATGGAGGGGTGAAAATGGGTGCTGTCCACGAGTGTGGAGAGCGGTATATTCATGTGCATGAAGGACTGACACCGCGTCATGCCGGGGGTGGGAGGGTGGGTTCGCTCACAAACAAGTAATTTCGTAGGAGAAAATGTGCCGAAAGGAGGGAAACATGTTAATATATACAGTGCAGAGGATTGTGGGACATCTATTGTTATTATAATATTCATTTATTATTTTTGGTACTTAGAATAGTTGCTGCATGGCGCAATAATGGCCTCTTTGACCTGTATGGTACTTTATTATAGCAC